CTTATATGGGTGCTGGAAACCAAATTCAGGCTCTTTGCAAGAGTAGTAAACACTCTTACCTGCTGCACCATCTCTACAGCCCCAGAGGTGATTCTTCTTAATTAACCTTGTGGAGTAAATCCTCTGTGCCTTCTTAAGACTAGAAAATCATTATTTCTGAGTAAGCCAGTTATCTTCAGTTGCCAATAACAAATGAATAAAATGACCAGTTTAGTTTTTATTTTACCTTACCTAATTCTGGTAAAATAGGAATTCTATTGTTTTCTAATCATCATTACCCCCCTCCAGAGGATTTATTTAAGTACTAGTCACTGAAGACACTGAACAAACAAGTCAAATAAGCCAATTTGAGGGCTAGAGAGATGGCTCAACCATTAAGAGCATTGGCTGCTCTTGCAGAGGACCTGGGTTCAATTCTCAACATCCACATGTTCCAGGGGATCTGATGCCCTCTTCTGACCTCCATGTGCATTGCACTACACAGGTGCACTTACATACATACAGGCAATACACTCATACACATAAAAGTCAATCTTGATTTATAGCTGTAAAGAATTGCTATTGTTAGCTGGAGAGATGGCTCAGCAGTTAAAAGTGCATACTGCTCTTGCAGAGAACCAAATTTGGTACCAGCACCCATCCTGGGAGGCTCATAATCACCTCTAATTCCAACTCCAGGGAATCTGATGCCCTCTCCTTGACTCCATGGGCACTGCATTCACACACACACATATATACACATAATTAAAAAATAAATCTTTAAAAAAGAATCACCGTTGTTAGGTTTTAGAGTTGATATTCATGTGTTTCCACTGAAGAACTATCTTGTAAAGATCAACAGCTTGGGCTTTGGAGCCAGACTACCTGAGTTGCAACTTAGTTTGTATGATAATGTTCCAGTTATGAGAGTAACATCTACTTTTAAGTTTCTCATGTTCCAGGGAGGACCTTGCAAATTTGCCACTTAACTACATAGACTATGTTAGCCAAACATTTAAGATATATCTGATATTCTGCTCACATTTTTCTCCATTCCAAGAGAGTTAACAGCAAACTATAAAGTGAAAGGACAAAATGCTAAAGCAAACCTTTGATCAACAGGTTTGAACTTGTTTTAGCAATAGTGAAATAGTGATGTCGAGGGTGATGCCTAAAAGAGGTGTGTATGACCATTAGGAATTCTAAAGTAACAGATAAATAGCACCACAAGATGTAGTAAGAGTTTAACACATAGACACACACACACACACACACACACAAACACAGACAGACACACACACACACACATAAACACAGACAGACACACACACAGTTGAAAGTCTACAGCTGACTTATTCTATTCTGCCATCTAGTGGTAATACGGTGATACAATTAGACATTGTATTGGATCCATCTCCCATGGAAGAATAAAGTGATACGGTTTCATAGGACCTAAGGAACTAGTTGAAGGAAAAGATTGAGCACACAAAGGAAAGTGATAACACTGCACAGAAGAAGCTAAGACATTGCCAGGGTGGATATCTAGGTGGAAAAACAAATTAAAAATAATACGCCTACACTAGGCATGGTGGCCCACACCTATCTCAGTACTTGGAAGGTGGAAGTAGGAGGATCAGGAGTTCAAGGTCATCCTTGACTACACAGTGAATCCAAGACCAGTACAGGGTATAAGAGACCCAGTCTCAAAGCAAGAATAAGAAAAATAAATTAATAATAAAATCTACACTGGGCCCACTGATATATAACTTGGGAGGCTGAGGCAGAAGGATCTTGAGTTTGAGGCTAACCTGGGTTACAACCATGAGGCCGTTTCAAAAATAAATAAATGAATAAACAAATGAAAAATACTTAAAAGCTGGAATGATGTCTTGGTTTTTAAAAAATAATCTTTTTTGTTTTGTTTTGTTTCTTTTGAGATGAAGTCTATGTAGGCCAGGCTGGCCTCAAAATTCCAGTCTTCCCGCTTCAGTCTCCATATGCTGGAATTACAGACATCTCACAATGGCATTAATTTTGAAATATAACTTTCTCTTAAATTCCTTTTAGCATAAACAATTTCAAATATGGTTTAAACTATTCCCTTAGAAAGGCAAGGAGTTTGGCCCACATTTTTTAAAAAATTTTTTTCAATTTTTACAAACTTTGATGGTATTTAGATCCCCTTCCCTATCTACACCTCACCTTACTGCTCCCACCCAATTTAATGTATTATATTATATATCAGCTTATAGAGTCTAATTTGTGTCTCCAGTGGGACCATCCACTGGTGCCTAGTTAACCTACCAAGATCCCATCCCTGAAAGATACTGTCTCTCCTTCTACCAATAGCCATCAGTTGCCAAAAATTCCTTAGGTTGGGTGGGGATTTCTTACCCAGTTCCCCATGTCTATGCTGGGGTTTTGCCTGGTTTAAGCTTGCATGCGACTTGTGCATACTGTCACCATTGCTGTGAGTTCATATGTGTAACTGACCAACTGTCTAGAAAACTGTTTCCTTGTGGTTATCCACCTCCTCTGGCTTTTACAGTCTTTCCACCCTCTCTTCCACAATGATCCCTGAGCCTTGGAAGGCAGAAGTTTGAAACAGGTATTCTATTGAGGGCTAAGCATTCTGCAGTCTCTTGTTCTCTGTGCATTGGCCAGTTGTGGGTTTCTGTGTTAATCACCATCTGCTGCATAAGGAAACTTCTCCAGTGTCTGAGACACTTAGCCCTTAGTGACACGTTTTCAAAACAACTGCTACACATAAGATGAATGCATCTTTCAACTTTCACCAGAGGTTTCCAAACATTCTTAATACTGCCTTTTTAAATAAAAGTAAAAATTGGGCAAAATCACATGAGAAGGAAAGGTTAGGAATTCCAGGAAATGAAAACTTTGGATGTGATGATTTAGTCAATTTATAGTGTTTCCATTGAATTACAAGGATTTTATTTGATGGAGTTTTGCATTTAGAATTTAGGGCACGTAATTTTAACCTTTACCAAAAAATGTACATAACATGTCAAACATAAAAGCATACAGCAGAGGGTTAATATTCTTGGTAAGTAAAAAGCCCCATAAATTACTCAAAGGAAGATTCCTCTAAGAAAATGAAGACTTCAATCAAGTAATTTACAAATAATGTAGTCAGGAGGCAATACAAATTATCACTCAGTTATCTGATTAAATGACAATAGGATCAGCAAGGTGGCTCAGCCTGTACAGGTACCTGCCAGCCAGGACTGATAACCTGAGTTCAATCTCCTAGACCCCCATGGTGGAAGGAGAGAACTGACTTCTGAAAGTTGTCCTCTGATCTCCACACATGCCCCCTGTCCAAATACATAAGTAAAATGTAAAAACAATAATAATGTGTGATAAAATGGGGCTGGAAAGAAGGCTCAGGGGTTAAGAGCACTTGCTGCTTCTCTTGCTGACCCAGGTTTGGTTCCCAGCATTCACATGGCAGCTCACAACTGTTTGCAACTCCAGTTCCAAGGGATCCAATGCCCTCCTCTGGCCTTCATGTGGTACACATACATATATGCACTCATACACATATAATTTTTAAAATAAAATGACAGTAAGATTTAAATAATCTATTTTTTTCTCAGTTTGATGGAGAAAAAAGATTCATAACTGGTGCTGATAAGGATGTAGGGAACCATGAATTGTGCAGCCATCATAAAGGGTATTAAACAGGGTATGTATGTTTTGATTTAGAATGTGAATTTCTCAGAATTTGCTCTAGGAAAGTAATTTATACAATGGTTGGTCTGTAATTTGTTAATTATAAATTGTTTATAAAAGCCAAACCCTGTTGAGTTCAACAACAGTCCATCAGTTAATATATGAGCATACATGTACTGGAGCACTGTCTAACTAGTAAAAGTTACAATGCAGAAATACTAGTGTCAGAAGACAGCCAACCTTAATGAGTGAAAACTAGCAGATTACAATTTCGTATGTATAGCACAATACCAATTTTGTCTTTCTTTTTTCAAAAGGTGCTTTATTTTATTTCATATAATTATTTGCCAATCAAAATTAAACTTGTATATTTACTTGAGTAGAAATAATCTCAGATTAAATACAGGTTTCACATGTATGTGGTCAAAATAAAAAGGACATTAAAAAGTTTTAAGAATTTCTAGGAACCAGTAAACATGGCTTAAGAAATTCTCCCTAGAGAGCAAGGCCATGTTTATCCATCTGGCCTGCTGCTTGTTTTCCTTCCTCCCAACAACATGTGTGAGTACATTTCTATTCTGAATATTAAATGTTTCATAAAATTAAAGCTTCAAAATTACCTCCATAGTAAACGTCATACAACTACATATTATCATTTATGTGGCATTTTCATACATTAATGAAAATGTTTACTAATGAACAGCTCTATTCTATTTTTATATGCTAGAGATGCAGCCCAGGGTTTCAAAGAACTAGGAAAGTGTTTTAACTCTCAGCTACATTACCAGTTTTATGTACTTTACTACCTCTTGTTATTCTTCTTCTTCTTATTATTATTATCTTTGCAGTGCTGAGAATTGAACCTGGGGCATTATGTATCCTTGGTAAGTGGTCTACCAC